AAAGACAACCCACAGACTGTTTATTAGAGCCAGAGTGAATAGATTGCTGATTGGGTGGCTTGTAGCCTTTCTACTGTTTGGGGGAGAATCAATAAAATTCAGCGCCCCCTGCGCAGGTAGCATTGCGTACAGGTATGTTTAAACGCAAAAGAAACTGTCCTGGAAAGTATAGGGATGGATTTACTAAAGGGGTGGACAGGGGCGGACTGACAACTCATGGGGCCCCCGGGCAATAGGGGATCATGGGGCCCCTGTGTCCTTGCCCAAACTCAAAAAAGCCTATGAAAAAGGTACCAGGGAATCTCATGGGGCCCCCTACTGACCCTGGGCCCTCGGACAGTGCCTGAGTTTCCAAATGGTCAGTCCGCCCCGGGGGGTGGATTTTCCTTGCACCTAATTTGGTATGCTTTACAAAGTGAAGCTTTACCACGCTCACTGAGCTCTGGGGAAAAAATGAGTGCATCTGCACTTACAAAATACACAGTCTATTTGCCTTTATTAAATCCTCCCCATAAAGTTTTTTCTTTTTTAATCTCTCCAGATCAATTTCTATGCATTTTTAAAAAAACAAATGCAGGAAGCAAGTGTGAATGCAGCCTTAGGCTGGCCATACGAGTCATTTTTTCTCATTCAACTAGCAAGGTAAACAAAATAAAATGACTAGATTCCCCCATCCCTCCCACTATGTTATTGTATTCTTTTTTTTTTTTTTGGTGAAAATTCTCTTTATTGTTTTCAGTTAAGCATAACATACAAACACAACAAGACTGCAGCTAGTCACTAGATGGCGACAAGCAGCCTTACAAACAAAAATAAACAAGAAACAAAAAAGGAACAAAATACAACCTTATAGAACAGTGCCTGTGAATGTCATCACTGGGACCCATATATTAGATAGTTAAGGATAGAGAAACCTCTCCATAATACAGATACAGAAGTAGTATAACAGAGCAATCTACAGCTCATTAAAACAGACGATACACTAGACAATCAAAGCAACTTTACAAATATAATATGCACAGAATACCACAATGCAAGTAATTAAGTCAAGGGACCTCATGGATCAACTACTGTTTGAAAATTCTCCATTAATCTGAGACAGTGAGGGGAGAAGCTACCTACCCACCCCAAACCTTATCCAATTTGTACAATGCTTCCCTATTTAGACGTGGCCTTATATAGAGGTAAGGTCTTATTCATCAACGCCTTCCAGGCTTCCACCATTAGAGCAGCAGTTTTTTCCAAGATAAAACAATGAGTTTCCTGGTGTGCAAGAATAGCAGTGTGAGTAATGTGCGGATAACTTTAGTGGGAGCTAAATCATCCACCGAACTTAAGAGGCAGTGTCTCCTTGTAGGTCATAAAGATTAAGTGGTCACAGCCTGGGCACACCATAGAACCTCAGACCAGAACACCTGCACGGCCGAACAGTTCCAGAAAATGTGCATAATATCAGCCCCAGCTAGAGCACAGCACCAACAGGAGGAGGACTCTGTTCCAATGATCTTAGCTATATTAGCAGGGGCCATATAAATGCGGTATAAAAAAAAATATGTAGTGTATTAATTGGTTACAAGCTGATATGAGCCTGGTAAAGGGTGCATCCCGCACGTCCTCCCAGTCCTCTCTTTCCAGATCAGGGACCACAGACGCCTACCTAGACCTAAACACACTCAAAAGCCTGTTAGTTTCAGGGAAAAGAAATGTATAAATAGTAGATAGGGGCTTAGTTAAATCCTCATCATGCAACAAAGGCTCCAGGTCCAATGGAGAAAGGGGGACTCTGGAGGACCCAAATTGTGACTGATAGGCATACCTTAGTTGTATATAATGGAAGAACTGCTTGTTTGGTAAGTGATGTAAGGACTTCAACTCATCAAGTGTTCTCAAAATTCCATTACTAGCAATGTCACCTATTTGCTTTACCCCAGACCTCGTCCACACACTAGGATCCTCATACATTCAAAAATGGGACAAATTAGGATTTTTCCGTAAGGGAATGTGTGGAGAAGCAGAAAAGGGTCCCCCATAATCAACCCCATGTGTCACCGTCCAAGCCCTTAATACAGATCTCATAGAAACAGGTGGTAATGTATGCTCATCACTTCCTGTTTACTATATCATAAAGGCAGACAGAGTGGTTCCAGTCTTTGTCTCTATGATCAGCCAGCAGAAGAACCGGCTGGTTGATCGGGTGTCCCGCAGGATGGGACAGCCCGTCAGGGCTTTTTTTTCTCAGAGAATAGGTGCAGGAACTCAAACATGCCCTCACCGCACCACTGTCTAAAGGGATCATTGTTAAATCAGCTCAGAAGTGCACTATGTGCAAGGTTCAGGAGTGCACTGCGTAGAGAGTGCAGGGTTCAGGACAGCGCTGAGAGTGTAGAGAGTGTAGGGTTCAGGAGAGCGCTCCGTACAGAGTGCAGGGTTCAGGAGAGCGCTCCGTACAGAGTGCAGGGTTCAGGAGAGCGCTCCGTCCGTACAGAGTGCAGGGTTCAGGAGTGCGCTGGTACAGAATGCAGGGTTCAGTACAGAAAGTGCACTACGTACAAAGTGCAGGGTTCTGGAGTGCGCTACGTACAGAGTGCAGGGTTCAGGATTGCTCTACGTAGAGAGTCCAGGGTTCAAGAGTGCGGTACCTACAGAGTGCAGAGTTCATGAGTGAGTTGCGTACAGAGTCCAGGGCTCAGGAATGTATATCTCACAGGCCAGTTTACAACAACCCCCCCTTCTAGTACAGAGCGCTCCACCCACCCCTAAATCCTCTCTCCCCCACCTAAAGAGTATCAGAGAAAGGGGCTGCTGTAGAAGAGAAGCTACAACTTACAGTAGGAGTTCAAAGTTAAGTGGGGAGAGGAAGCATTAGTGCTAAGAGGGGGATAGGGGATGATATTGGTGCAAAGTTAATGAGGAATTGGTGGAGAGAAAGGGCGAACATTGGGGATAAGTAGGGAAGAGGGGGATATTTTAGATAAGTGGGGGAAGAGGAGGGGCATTGTGGTTTAGTGGAGGGAGAGGAGGAACATTGGAGATAAAGGGGGGAGAAGGGGACATTTGGGATAAGTGGGAGGGGGGATTTGGAATAAGCAGGGGGGAGAGGGGGCATTTGGGATAAGTGGGAGAGGAGAGTGTACATTGGGGATAAGTAGGGGGGCGAGGGGACATTGGGGATAAGTGGGGGAGAGGGGGGATAAATGGAGGAGACAGGGACATTGGGGATAAGTGGAGGGAGAGGAGGAACATTGGGGATAAGTGGGTTTTTTTTTTTTGGATAATTGGGGGTAGAGGGGGGTCATTGGGGTTTAGTGGAGGGAGAGGAGGAACATTAGAGATAAGTGGAGGAGAAGGGGATATTTGGAATAAGTGGGGGGAGAGGGTGACATTTGAGATAAGTGGGGGGAGAGAGGGATATTTGGGATAAGTGTGGGGGAGAGGGGGACATTTGGGATAAGTGGGGGGAAGCATTTGGGGATATGTGGAAGAGGAGGGGGGGGGCATTGGGGATAAGTGGAGGGAGAGGGGAGGCATTGGAGATAAGTAGAGGGCGAGGGGGGACATTGGGGATAAGTAGTGGGAGAAGAGGAACATTGGGGATTAGTGAGGGAGAGGGGGACATTTTGGAAAAGTGGGGGTAGAGAGGGGAAATTGGGGTTTAGTGGAGGGAGAGGATGAACATTGGAAATAAGTGGGGGAGGAGGGGGGACATTGGGGATACGTGGGGGAGCAAAGGGACATTGGGGATAAGTGGAGGGAGAGAAGGGACATTGGGGATAAGTGGAGGGAGAGGAGGAACATTGGAGATAAGCGGGGGAGAAGGGGATATTTGGGACACGTGTGGGGGAGAGGGTGACATTTGGGATATGTGGGGGGGAAGCATTGGGGATAAGTGGGTGAGAGGGGGGATACTTGTGATAAGTGGGAGGGGGAGAAGTGGACTTTTGGGAAAAGTGGGGAGGGAGAAGGGGACATTTGGTATAAGTGGGGGGGGGGAGAAGAGGTCATTTGGGATAAGTGGGGGGGGGGGAGAAGGGGACATTTGGGATAAGGGGGGGGGGGGCATTTGGGGATAAGTGGGAGAGGAGGGGGGCACTGGGGATACATGGGGGGGAGAGGGAGGACATTGGGGATACATGGGGGGAGAGGGGGGACATTGGGGATAAGTGGAGGAGACGGGGACATTGGAGGTTAGTGGAGGAGCCTGTCACATTGGGGATTAGTGGAGGGAACAACATTGGGGATTAATGAGGGGGATGACATCGGGAATTAGGGGGAGAGGAGGAACACTGGGGATAAGTGTGGTGGGGGGGGGTGATGCTGTGTGTGAGTGTAGTGTGCCCTATGTAACTGTGCTCCACATGCTGAATGTCACATACCACAGTACACTTGGTCAGGAAGATTCCAGGAGATGTCCATTACAGGTGGGGTACAGCAGTACACCCATTCCTGAAACAGCAGAGGAGCAAAGCTCTGAGCAGTATGCTGCAGGGACTGGAGGCGGCTCAGTGTCCTGGGACTAACAGCCAATAGGAAGTCAGGAAAGTATGTATGGACTTCTTGTGGAAGAGGCAAAACTTACAGTGCTGGCTTTGCATTGCAGAGTATTACTAGCTGCAGTAGAGTGCTGGGCTAGGACAGGCTGGAATATGATACATTAGGAGATAGGAGTCCATGTACAATGTACTCGCTCAGAACGCAACCGCACTGAAGAAAAACACCACTCCCCTATTTTATCTCATAATTCTTACATCTTTATTTAATTCTATTTTTTTTCTTTTTCATTTAGTTTTTCTTCTCTGTTTGAATTTGAGTATTTTTATTTAATTGTTCTACTTTTTTGCTGTGTTCCTATTTTCAATCGTCTTTATCACCTTTTTAAATTTTATTTTAAGCTCATTGTTATACTTCATTGCCAAATGTATTGAGACACCCCTCCAAATCATTGGATTAAGGTGTTCCAATCATCTCCATGGCCACAGGTGTATAACATCAAGCACCTAGGCATGCAGACTGCTTCTACAAACATTTGTGAAAGAATGGGTCATTCTCAGGAGCTCAGTGAATTCAAGTGTGGTACCGTGATAGGTTGCCATCTGTGCAATAAGTCCATCTGTGAAATTTCCTTGCTACTAAATATTCCACAGTCAACTGTTAGTGGTATTATAACAAAGTGGAAGCAACTGGGAACAACAGCAACTCAGCCACAAAGTGGTAGGCCACGTAAAATGACAGAGAGAGTCAGCGCATGCTAAAGCACACAGTGCGCAGAAGTCAGCAGAGTCAATAGCTAAAGACCTCCAAACTTCATGTGGCCTTCAGATTAACACAATAACAGTTAGTAGAGAGCTTCATGAAATGGGTTTCCATAGCTGAGCAGCTGCATCCAAGCCTTACATCACCAAGTTCAATGCAAAGCGTCGAATGCAGTGAAGACATGTTCTGTGGAGTGATGAATCACTCTTCTGTGTCTAGGGATTCGATGGACGTGTCTTGTTTTGGCGGTTGCCAGGAGAAAGCTACTTGCCTGACTGCATTATGCCAAGTGTAAAGTTTGGTGGAGGGAGGATTATGGTGTGGGGTTGTTTTTCAGGGGTTGGGGTTGACCCTTACTTCCAGTGAAGGGAACTCTTAAGGAGTCAGTAGAACAAGACATTTTGGACAATTTCATGCTCCCAACTTTGTGGAAACAGTTTGGGGATGGCCCCTTCCTGTTCCAACATAACTACACACCAACGCACCAGGCAAGGTCAATAAAGATATGGATGAACGAGTTTGGGGTGGAGGAACTTGACAAAGTCCTGACCTTAACCCGATAGAACACCTTTGGGATGATTTAGAGTGGAGACTGCGAGCCAGGCCTTCTCGTCCAACATCAGTGCCTGACCTCACAAATGCGCTTCTAGAAGAATGGTGAAACATTCCCATAGCCACACTCCTAAACCTTGTGGACAGCCTTCTCAGAAGAGTTGAAGCTGTTATTGCTCCAAAGGGTGGGCCAACTCAAAATTGAACCCTACGGACTAAGACTGGGATTCCATTAAAGTTCATATGCGTGTAAAGGCAGTACTTTTGGCAATATAGTGTATATAATAACATATCCCTTTGTGTCCTTTCACCTGTCCTTTTATATTTTTCCACACTTTTGCACATATTTATCCCTTTTTTTCCTCTTATCCTTATTTTTACATTCTTTCATTATGTCTTCTCTCCCTTACACACATTCCAACACTTGCTCACATTTCCCTCATCACAGCCAATGATACATATTTATTCACCGACACCCACCTCTGAGATCAAGCCCTGATGGGTGGGGCAAAATGCATCAGAGGACTTGGCTGGAGCAGCAGCTGAAGCCATTACACATTCATCCGGACTTACTGGGTCGGTAGAGAGGTGTCTGTCTTCTTCTATGAAAGATTTCCATGTTTACAATGGAAAAAGTGTAGGGCTTTGGAGTTACTCATTGGTAGTAAATCATCTACATTACTAGAAGAAACAACCAAAACCATAAACTATTTTAAGGAAAATTGCAAGTATCAAGTAGTAGTCATTTGCAACTTTATCATCATTGTTATTTTATATTGATTTGTAGCGGTCCTATCTTGAACATATTAGGCATAAATGTATTCTGTCTATGTTATTATTATTATACAGTATTTATATAACGCCAAAAGGTTTGTTCAGAGCTGTACATTATAGTGGGGGACAGTACATGAGACAATACAGTAACAAAACAATACACTAGGGGTTCGAGGGCCCTGCTCTTTCAAGCATGTTCAGGTGAAAGTAGAGTTTTTCCCCTTTTCTTGTCTTGTGATGATCTGCAGCCATTTTATATCTACATGCACTCCAATGATGGTCGCATGGCATTTCCAAGGGTGGGTTTCTTGATGTTGAAAAAAATAGTGGACTACGCATGAGTAATGTGTATTAATGCAGCCATCAGAAGCCTGTGTGACAGGTTAACAATGGAGGAACACAACTGGGAAACAGAGACGTTGTCTCTTCCTACAGAGTAACGGAACAAGGACCTTCATAGCAGAGTCACAAGGCATTATTTTTATAAAAGTTGAAAAGTCAAAAACATCACTTTACAATTTTAAAGCACTTTAGTGATTGGGTTTAAATATACGGTACTTTAACATTCAGTTTGTTTTTGTGCTTTAACCTCCCTGGCAGTCATCTCGAGTGTGGCTCGGGGTTAATTTTCAGTACCAAAAGCGGTAACCCTGAGCCACACTCAGGATTACACTGTAGTGTAACTTACCTTGTCCCTCTGATCCCCCGATGTTCTCCCTCTATGTCCTCCAGCCAATTCTGGCATCTGTCTTCCGGGTTCCCTTCCCTGCGAGCGCCGCGATGCAGGGGGTGGAACCGGCGGGAGAGTAAAAAAAGTAAACAAAACTTGACATACACACAATACATTGTAATTTCTTAGGATTACATTACTGTATCAAACCATTTCACCTCAGTTTTGTCCCTAGTGCTTTCTCCAGTGCCCTGCCTTCACTTTTACCATTCTTTCTGCCTGGAAACTTGAGAACATCCATGGCGTCTGATAAGTGTCCCTGTAGGTCAAAAGCGGTTTTAGACCAGCTAGAAAACAGTGATAGTGAATTAGAATCACTTGCAGAATTGAGTGGTAGTAATTCATGAGGAAATTCGTCATCAGACACTGAAAGTGACGCAGCGATGATTCTGTGACTGAGCTCAGTGATGTGCGAACTTGGTGTTCTATTGACTGTGGTACAGATCAGGCAGTGCCCCCAAGATTCCCCTTTACTGGAGCATCTGGTATGAAAGTAGACATTGAACACGACAACCCCTTGGCATACTTACAATTATTTCTGATCGATGAGGTTATTGAAAAAATAGTTACTGAGACAAACCGGTACCAAGAGTAACAAATGGCTACTCTGCATCGGAAGTTTCCACGAAGCAGAAAGTGGGAACCAGTGACCAAAGATGACATTTGGAAATTTCTGGGCCTAATAATACTTCAGGGAGTGGTAGGGAAACACCTGCAGAAGTGGTATTGGACAACTAATAAATTACTTGCCACTCCATTCTTTGGCACAGTCATATCAGAGTACAGATTTTCCCTGATCATGAATTTTTACACTTCAAAAACAACTAAGAATTTGATGAAACTACTCATCCTGCACCAAAACTAAAGAAAATGTATAATTATTTATTATATTATAATTTATGATTTTTGTGTTTCAAACTTTATCATACCTGGGATGTTTACTAGACTCTTGTTTGGACAGATTTAAGTGAGTTATTCCTAAGAATTACAGGCCTACAATATAAAACAACAAATTTCCATGCAAAACAATGTACCGCTTTGACATTCAAAAATATTGACTTAATCAGACCGCCAGGGAGGTTAAGGAAATAGCTACCATTTTGTTGTTGCCAAGAGCAGCTATCTGCCTTAAAATATTTTCTACAGACATAATTTTAATATATTTGTGTTTGGATTGAATAAATAATGTATAATAGATTATTCTACAGGCTTTCTTTAAACATACTCATAATTAACCAACACGATCTGTATAATATTTATGTATTTGCTTTACTCAGATATACCATGAGATTTGCATTGACTGTTTGAGCACTTTTATGAAACAGTAGGAGTAAACCTTTTTGTTCTTATTTTTTCTGTTTTTGTTATAGCACAGTTTTGTATCTCAGCAGGTGCTGAATTGGTCCAATCTATACAAATAATGGGGTTGTCTTGCTAACAGTGGTATCTTATCTCACAGAGCAGCAAGAAATGATAGCTATGAAACTAACCACAGGAGCACTGGTTGATATGAGTAGAAATAAAGCTACTTAACTCTTTCAAATCCATACAATGCCAAGAATAGCTTCTTCTGTGAATAATAAAGGAAGGTAAAGATATATGGCAACTATGTAGTTAACAAATCCTTACATTGTAGACCTGCACCTTGAATTGTTCTATCAATAATAATTTGAGATTAGCAATTGAGCTAAAGAAATGTAATAAAAACAACTTTAAGCAACTATACAGAACAGCTCAAGTCTGTCCGTCATTGCTGAGGCTACTAAAACAAGCCTTCAATTTAATTCCTGTCCAAGGAGCGTGACACTCGCCTAGTCTTTTTTGTTAACATTTTGAACTAAAAAACAAACACATTTTTATCACAGCTGGGGTGAATAGACAGGTCTTAAAGTGTATCTAAGTCAAAACCTTAAAAATTATATACATTGCAGCTTACCAGTCCTCAAGTGTGGTTTCAGAATTAGGTTTCTTTTTTCAGGCATTTTCCCTGTGCATATTGATAGTAACACACTTCCTGCCCTAGGGTGACAACACGCATCAGTTGTACTGTATCAGGACTAGGGATGAGGTTCGAGCTTGGGATGATGCAGGGTTCACCCTCAACTAAAAGTATACGATCTTTATTAACCACTTGCCTACTGGGCACTTAAACATCCTTTTCGTGCCCAGGCCAATTTTTCAGCTTTCAGCACTGTCGCACATTGAATGACAATTGCGCTATCATGCAACATTGTACCCATATGAAATGTTTATAATTTTTTCCACACAAATAGAGCTTTCTTTTGGTGGTATTTAATCACCACTGGGTGTTTTATTGTTTATTGTTATTGTTAATATTTGAAAAAAAGTTTTTTTTTTTCAAAAAAAAGGTTTTTATTAGAAGAAAGCAGACATAACAATACATATACAGACGTGAATCCAAAATCGGACATATTACTGTGTGTCATCTCCCGTGTCGCAGACGGGGGAAAGCCTGACAGGCAATACAAAACATATTGTTGTAAAACATTTTGTCAACATAATATTACAATCCAGGAAATGTACCACAAATAAGAAATGAGTAAGGAGATATATTGTCTTTTGACCTTTGAGCAGGATTTTCTGTCAGGGAAGTGTGAAGTGTGTGATATCGAATATAAATAGCACCTCTTAAAGCCTTAGATCTGTGTCACGTGTCCAAGAATTGGATGTGTAAGTATTATGAAGCGTAATACGTCTGTTTGAGTACAGCATTCTGTATTGGTTATGATACGAAGATAAGAGTAGAACATAGGCGGAAGCTAGAGATCAGGTAGAAAGAGGGTTAGTTAGTAAGTAGAGTAACGTGGTGATAACATAAGTATATAGAAAGGGAGAAGGAGGAGAGCGAGAGAGAGAGCGAAAGCAAGGAAAAAAAAAAAAAAGGAGGGGGGGGGGGGGAAAGGTGGGGAGGGCTTATGATATGGGAAAAAAGGTGTGTATGCTTATGGGTAGGTGGCTCACAGCATGTGAGGCACGCCACAATAGTAATATCAGCTTATAGTTGAAGCCATGGTGCGTATCAAGTCAGTCAACCGAGTAATATGCAGATAGAAGCTCCAAGGGAGCAAGCCTTGGTGAAGGACTAAGGTATATCTAGGCATAGATCAAGAAGTATCTCAGAAAAGAGACCATTCCCCAGTGCCAGAATAGGTCTAGTCAATCATTGCTGCATTAGTAGGTGGTAGGTAGGGGTGGTTTTAAAATGCTTCCAACAGGCCCACGTTTCCCTGAATCTCTCGGGATGTTCTTTGGCAACAGAGATCAGTTCTTCCATTTCCTCAATTCTATTGATCCTCGCAAACCATTCACGGATAGTGGGGATATTTGTCGAGCGCCAGT